ATTTTTTGTTTTTTGTTGGCTGTAGTACCTCCAGGGTGTGTTTCTTCATATCACCAGACAATCTACCAAGTGGTGTTGAAGTTGGACCTCGCGATGTGGAGGGCTGCATTTCATCTACTTCTGCTATTAACCATCCCCTCGCAACTGATAACAAATATTTTATATACTGCATTTTTTCATGTGGATTTGTCTTCTTGTATATTATGAAGCTGTTAAATAGAGCAATATTCATTACCCTGTTTTTCCGTTAGAAGGTTTCGTATGAAGAAAAAGGTATGGTTTTAAAGCGCGACTTATAAAGAAATGCGGTTTATAAAAGGTTGCGGCTTGTAGATATGTACAAAATGTACCTAAGTATTTATTAGAATTATATTTACATAATATTTATCCATTTAAAATGTTATTCATTTTAAAAATGTTTTTCTGATCGGTTTTCTTTGACGGCTAGAATTTAAATATCAAAATATAGCAAATAGTTGCAAAACATTTCAAAAATAGTACTTTTTTATTCTTAATAAAAGTTTATTTACGTAGATATCTAGGTAATTAAAAAAACCCAAATATATTTTAATGAAACAATATAATATATTCTACATTAAAACAAAAGATATATTCTATGAGAAATAAAACAAATTATGTACCTACTACTATGTGTAGGTAGATAACTATTCTATGAGATCATAAAATCCATGTCTTCTTCATGACCTGGTCCATCCGAATCGAAGTCTGACAAAAGGCAGTCATACAATAAATGATCGTCCTCGTGATTATTTTCGTTGCTTTCTTTCTGATCGTTTACTTCCACTTCATTTATAGGTTCATCTTCTTGTAGTTGCTCATTTGGAATTATTTCTTCATTGTAGAATTTTATTTTAGTCTCTCTAAATCCGTTTTTAATGATGTCCTGAGAAATATTTTGCCATGTTGTGTCAATCCAATTAACGATTCCTTCATAAGACACTCGCTTTATCGGTTTTCCTGTTTATAAGCATTATAAGAATTGATCATAAATTTCTCCCACAATTCTTTTAGTTTTGCTTTAAAAGATTTATTAACTGAAATATCCAACGGCTGTAACAGTTTCGTTAATCCTCCAGGTATAACTGCAGGTATTGTTTGATTTTTTTTAATTATTTTTTACAGCATCGGTGCAATGTCCAGGTGCGGAGTACAATATTAATAGGAAAAAAATGATCCAGGCCGTTTTTTCCAAATTTCATTTAGCCATAGCTCCATTTTATTCGAAGACATCCATCCCTTTTCATTAGCCGAAATAATAACACTTTTTGGAAAATTTCCTTTTGGGCGTGTTTTTCTTTTAAATATTGCATATGGTGGCAGGTCATTAATGACTCTCTTGAGCCTGTCTCACACAGCAAAGTTTTTCAAAAGAAGGTTTTATATTACAAATAACCACTCTCAGTGCTTTGTCTATATTCAGTCGAGACCTATATTATGTCTTTAAAGCAGTCACCGCAAAAAATACGGCTTCGCAAAGGCAGGATGTTGAAAATGGAAATAATATACAAAACGTTCTTGTTTTCAGTGGAGAAAAGGCATCATCCATTCCCGCCCAAAATTCAAAGAGAGATTTATTACTAAATTCTCTCTCGATTTCGCCGCTTGGAGTAAAGTCTATGAAGATTTCTTCTTCTGCAGTTGAGAGACATTCGGGAGTAGTTCGAAATGGATCCCTAACCCACTCGAAACTTGCTACCAATTTGTCGTCAGCAAGAAAATACTTTTTAAAATTCTGTGCCAACATGGCTAAATGACTTTCTATTGTTACAAAAATAACTTTCACATACCATAAGATGGGGCTACTTGGCCACCCCGGGGCTACATGGACACAACGCATCCGTGTTCAGTCCTGTGTCACGAAAGCAAGGTTAGATTATGTTTTTGTTTCTGGTGTTTTTTTTGTTATTAAAGGAAGTCACCGATTAAAAATGGTGCGCATGTATCGAAAAACTCCAGGGTCAAAATCCTATATGAATTGCAAAGTGGAAGATTTGGAAAAGGCTATGGATGCAGTTCGGAAGGGGATGTCAAGGAAAAAGGCCGCAGAAGAGTTCAAAGTGCCCCAGACAGCATTACTACGGAAGATGCTTGAAAGGAATTCAAGACCCGTTGGACATCCGATTGTTTTAAGCAAGTCTGAGGAGCTGTTGATTTCTGAAACTTTGCCTGTTGTTTTGAATTGGCGATAAACAAGGGAGGCAGGTCAAGGTCTTCAAGAACAACAGTCCAGGTCCAGATTCCATCTATTCTTTTATAGCTAGTAACAACCTGTTTATCAGAATAGCGTCAAACATCAAGCGGTCAAGGTCGTCAGTCAACCGCGACGACACATTACAACATTTTTTAACAACGCTAACTTTGCCCTTTCTTCAGTTAAAGTGTAAACCTATATAATTATGATGTGTCCAAGAAGCCCCAACAACGGGGCTATTCGGACATCACTTTTTTATATATTTGTTGTTTGTATAAGGTATTTTCAATGTTTTATGATAGTTATACAATCCTGAAGGTTAGGTTGGTATGATGAACAAGTTTTTGTTGCCCTAACTTTATTTAAAAAAAAACCTAACATATCCTAACATAACCTTCAAAATTTGATTTCTTTAATTTGAAATTTGTTATTTTGTTAGAAACCTTCTGATGATGGCCTAATAAGCCGAAACATGTAAAGGAAATATTTAAATTAATACATCGATTAACAGTAAAATAGAAAGTAATATTTATTCAATTTACCCTAACTTTATTTCTTCACTTTTAATCTTGAAAAATGCACAAAAAACGTGTCCAAGCATCTTACGGTACTGCTCTTCTTCCTTGTATGTTTTGACACACTCATTCACATTTGCAAACATTTCTAGTTTCTTTTGTTCACATTTCTGCCCCACAGCTCCAACTTTCTACAAAAAGCACTAACTTTATCACTGCGATCCAACATATGTGTGTTTGCTCGTTGGAGTTGTAGATTCAGGGTATTTAATTTCTTGAATATGTCGACGAATATGTCCGGGAGGTTTATCTTTTCTAGAAAAGTGGAAATTTCCACTTTTAACTCATCAACACAATGTAGAAATTTCCCACGCGATAACCATCTGACCTCGTAATAAAATAGCAACGTCGAATGTTCTGAGCCCATATCTTTGCAAAGTGCATTAAAGATTCTTAATTTTAGGGATCTCATTTTTATATAATTTTTTACAGTTACAACCGTCTTTAGCACAACGTGGAGACTAGGACTCATTTCTTTCGACGCTAAAGCCTCTCTGTGGATCATGCCATCGGTGCATATTCCAACGCAATTCTTCCACTCTATGTTTGCCTCATTAATAAAATCATTTAAAATATCAAACAAAGCGAGTGCTGTTGCTTTCAGTTCTATAGGTTAGCAGAAAAGTAGTTCTTCTACTGCCGATATACCATCAAATCGGACATAGGCAATTAAATGAGTATCTTTATTGCTATCTGTTGCCTCGCAAGCTAAATCGAAAACAATTTGTCATGAAACTTTTCAAGAAGCTTATGCTGTACATCTTCGGCTATATCACCAATTCGGCAGGCAACAGTATCATTTGAAAGAGGTATGGATTACAATTGTTTGGCAAAATTATCTCCAAACATAGTTTCTACAAACTCCATCGCGGCTGGCAGAATAAGGTCTTCACCAATGGTGTGAGCCATTTTACATCTGGCAATTTTATACGATACTTTGTAGGAGGCAAGTAAAGGTTTTTCGTTCACAAAGTTTTTTTGAAGAATGATGTTTGCTCTTTATATGATATCTGCTGCCAAAATTTTATTAGGGTCAAAATTTTCAACGTATAATAACGAACGTATATTCCTCGTATTTTATTATTATATGAAAAAGAAAATTGGGTAATTAAACGGAATTCTGTGAAGTAAGGAGATAACCAAAAAATGGAAATTTAATATCTATAACTAATCTATAACTAATTAAGAATCAATTATATGAATCGGAAACATAGAGACTAACAACCCGGAACTACTACCACTCACAGTTAAAGTCTCTGATAGCGTTATCTATCGGATAGCTTAAAAATTGGTTACTACCACTGTATTTATCTTATAGATACCGCTATCCAAGGGATAACTTTTAAAATAGCTGTAACCCGCGGATTGGGTGTCGTATAAGTTGCTATCTAAGGGATAACTGAGGATACCTAACCTCAAATAGGATTTATACTGACGTATAAAATTCGAGCGTTTTACTATTTCAGTTAAAATAAGAAAAGTAATATAAACTTAAATAAAAAACTATTAATAATTAACATTAGATAAAATCATCATGGATAATTTCTTCGACATTGGAGATAAAGAACAAATTTTTGAAGAAATCAATGAATTATTTCCTGTAAGAAGCGAAAGGATAATGAGTAGAGTTGACCATTTAAATATTTATTCAGATGTTGAATTTATGACGAGATTTCATCACCTTTTGAATCAAATAGAAGATGTAATAAAATCACAAAATCCCTAGATTCCTTGGTTATCTCAAGGATTTCTTAATTATGAGATAAATGGAGGTGGTAGTACGCACGACCCTGTTATCTACGAGATAAATTGTATCTTATAAATAGCTTAACTGACAGATAGCATTGGTTTGGTAGTAGCGGGCCTTAATGGACGAGAAGATCTGCTAAAGTATCGCGTATGGAAATGATACGACAGACAATAATGAAAAATATTGAAAGAATCCAACTTACTTGAAAAAGCGAGTACTTAAAAAGAACAAAAAGATAACCAAATTTTCGGGTAATAAATGATTTTGAATATATTAGAAATATATTTCTTTATTAAAAACTATTCTTTTTATATAAAATAACTAATAAGAATGTTTCTATAAACTAAAATAATGTTTGGATTTATCAAGAATATGTTACATTCTAACAAATAATTGATAAAAACCAAACATAAAAAGGATATTGATTACTTGAGCAAACATTAAAAAGAAATAAATACAAATATCAACTTTCATATTTATTTATCACCAGATCTTTTCTTTTTCATTTTCTATGAAATTGTTACTATTTTTCTCGACTTTCTTTTCATTTTTTACTATTTGACTTTTACCATTGAATATTAAATTCCTGATATTTTGCGAGGGCATTTCAAACAACAAAGTTAAAGCTATCGAAAAAAATATTATCCAAAACGTTTCTAACAAATTCACCTAAAATCGAAAAAATAAATTAAAATCCAAATTCTTTTTATTAACAATTAAAATTAATTCATTAATTTACCGTTTTTCGAATAACTCCATAATCATCACTATGCTTTGTTATTCCTACGTTGTAGAAAAAAATTGGAAACTGAGTTAAATAAACTGTATAAGAAATATTCGTCCAAAGTTTCGGAATAGGATGTGATAGTATATAATTAAAATAACCTAAAAAATAATTATTTTATTTTTAGTTTTGGATTTGTTTCGTTATTTTTACCTCTATATCCAACATGTGTGATGTAAATGAACCAGGCAAAGCACAAACACCACATAATGGGGGCGTAAGCCGCATACCAAGCGGCATCAACAGGATTATAAATGTAATTTAAATCGCCCATGAATGATGGAACAAATAATGCCCCACAAAATGATGTGATTGCAAGAAAGTTTCCTATTTTAACATAGATCTAAAAAAAAATAAATTAAAATAATTAAACCTTTTTTCTATTTAATGGACTCAACTGGTTTTAATTGCACGTTCTTGTATTCTCTTAAAATGTAGGCTAAAATTATTCCCATAATGTAAACTGTGAGTCTGTGTGGTGGTAAGATATACATATGATCCGCTGTTTTAAATAATTGGTCAGTTCTAAAAAGAAAAAAAGTTTAGGACGATTTTCGTTAAGTAATGGTTTTTTTAATTTACGATGTTCCAAAATGAACGTAATTTGATAATTTTTTGGTATAAGTAGCGTAATATCTCATCCCTGTTGAGATACAAGCTATTGTAAATAATGTAAATAATCCTCTTTTGGGCCATTTCCATACTAATAATACGAATATCGGGGATAAAAAGAATAATTGGGTGTCTATTCCGACGTGATGTGTATGAGTAAGACACTAAAAAAATAATTAAATAATTAATAAGAAAAAAGATTAAATTAACCTTTTAATACACGCGCGAATGTGTAAATTAATTTTCGCACTAGTACTATCTTTTGCAAATGTTTCAAATGAAGATGTATGGCTGAACCCGAAACTTTCTAGTTCTAGGTTTCGTGTTGGGAAAAATTAAAAATTCATTTTAATTTAAAAAAATCAAAAAATGCATTTTAATTAAAAAAAATAGGTAATCAAAGAATAAGAATAAACTTAAAAAAGACTGGAATAATCATAATCCATACTTCAGCAAAAATTTAAGAATTATACTGGTGAAAAACCAAACTTAAGGGAATAGTCGGGAATATTCTGGTCAGAAGGTTAATTTGCAAGAAAAAGTCTGAAATTGCAATAGGTATGAACTAGACTTCAGCAAAAAACAGGAATTACATTGTACAAAGTCCACATGAAGTCTCAAATTACTGTTCAGAGAAAACAAAAAATGGATTATAAACCAAACATGATTTTTCATGGGAATACTTATGTGTTCAATAAAAGAATGCGAAGAATATGAACAACAAACCAATGGACTTGTCTTGTTATTGCACAGGACAGGAAATCACCAATACGGAAAATTTGCCAATGCAGGATAAGCACAAAAGCAAAGTAACAGCTGCAGAAATGAGGTGCCGGGTGGTACAAGATCCGTATAGATAATAAGAGGCTCCCAAAAAGATGATGATAGACACCCAGAAAGAAGTTGCTGTCAGTATCAAGAACAAAACATACATAACGTTGGCAGAAGACTAGATACTGCTTCTAAAAAACTAAATACTCCTTTCTGAAGACTAGATACTTCTGACAGGTCTAAGTACTGCAAAAGAAAGATAAGATAGTGTTGTAGAAAACATACATAACGTTGGCAGAAGACTAGATACTGGTTCTAGAAGACTAAATACTGCTTTCTGAAAACTAGATACTTCCGACAGATCTAAATACAGTGTCTGGAACACTAAATACTGCCTTCTAAAGACTAAAATTGCAGATCGAATGTCCCACTAACGAAAGACGAAACCTCTGTGCTCGCCAAAGGATTGAACTACGCAATCGCCCCGAAGAAGGTCCCAAAGGAGGAAATCATCTGCGAAGTGGAAGCAGCTGTCCGAGGGATGCCTACACTGAAACCCGAAGAGATCCGACAAGAAGTTGCGAGAGTACTAAAGTCAGTAAAACCACCAAAATCCAACTTGACAGTTGGTGAAAAGAAGGCACTCCGATCTATTAAAGAAAAGTCAAAAATCGTCGTGTTACCAGCAGACAAGGGGAATGCCACCGTTGTTATGGACAGGAAAGGACCCAGCCACCTACAGGAAGATCAAGAAGGACCCCACAGACAAAATCGTAAGAAAAATGAAGGATAAAATCCACAGGAATTCCAGCAGAACAGCAGAAAGGTTTGTTTGTGCAGGCGCCGGTACCACCAAGAATCTACGGACTACCGAAGATTCACAAACCGGACGTCCCGTTCCGCCCTATCGTCAGCGCCATCAACTCGCCAACATACAAGCTGGCCAAATATCTTGCAAAGATTCTGTCTTCCTTTACAGGTAACACGGAATCGTATGTCAGGGATTCTACACATTTTGTGGAATCGGTAAAAGGTGTAAAGCTGGATGCTGGGGATATGTTGGTAAGTTTCGATGTGGTATCCCTTTTTACTAGGGTACCAGTTAAGGATGCTGTAGAGGGTCTTCGCCGAAAACTCATTCCGGAGGGTTTACCAGAATACGTGCCAGATCTGGTGGAGTATTGCTTATCGTCGACGTATTTCAGCTGGAAAGGAGAATTTTACGATCAGTTCGAAGGGGCAGCCATGGGATCTCCACTATCGCCAGTTATAGCTAATTTCTACATGGAATTATTCGAAGAAGAGCCAGTGGAAACCAAAACTATGGCTCCGATATGTGGATAACACGTTTGTGATATGGCAACATGGTCAAAAACGGCTCCAAGAGTTCTTGGATCACTTGAACTCTCAACATCCTATGATTAAGTTCATCATGGAAAGAGAAACTGCCAAAAAACTACCTTTCCTAGATGTGTTGGTCACCAGGACGACAAATGGAGATATAGAACTTGGTGTATATCGAAAGAAAACCCATACCAACAGGTATTTACAGGCATGTTCACATCATCATCCCCAACAGAAGAGGTCCGTGATCCGTACATTATTTCAGCGAGCAGCGAGACTATGTGAAGGAGAGAACTTGAAGAAGGAGCAACACTTTCTACGAGGCGCGCTGCAGAAGAATGGATACACTTCGAGGGACATCAACCAGGCCATCAAACAGCGAAAGCAGAAAGAGGACACGGTAAGTACAAAACCACTTGGATTTATCTGTCTTCCCTATGTTTCAGGTGTAACGGTACGAATTGCTAGGCAACTCAAGAAGAACGACATCGTAGTGCGGTACGGCACGGTCAGCAAAATTCGGAACACACTCCCGATAGCCAAGGACAAACTAACTCCATTAAAAGGAGCGGGAGTCTACCGACTATCGTGTAGTTGTGGGTTGTGAGAAGGTTTATGTTGGCCAAACTGGACGCAACGTTGAGTGCCGCATCAAGGAGCATGAGAGGGATGTAAGGCTGAAGAAGATCCAGCAGTTGGCGGTTGCGGAACATTGCCATGCAGAGGGGCACCGAATAGACTTCGAACAAACAAAGGTGTTGGCTAGGGACAACAGATACTACCAAAGACTGACAAGAGAAGCCATAGAGATTCACCGACATAAAAATAACGTCAACAGAGAGGATGGCTGGGAGCTTAGCAGAACATGGAAAATGGTGGTGAACACGAAGACCTCTTCCCGCCTCACACCGGACGCGACGCAACTAGTTAATAATTAGCTTGTAATTAGCGTTAACTGATTATTAATTAGTTTTTCCGACTTACATATAGTTACCGATTTGTGATCTCGTCACTTCGAACCAGTTTCTGAAGAAGGTTGCAACATGGCATCCGAAACGTCAAACCTTTTATCAAAAGACGCACGGCAAAACCCGAAAGTTTCTAGTGTTAGTTCTAGTTTTAGTTCTAATTTTAGTTTAATTCACACCGGCCGTGAAAGCCTTCGTACTTATACTAAAATTGCTTTGTGGAGACTAAATACTGCTTTCTCAAGACTAGATACTGCTAATAGGTCTAAATATTGCAAAAGAAAGATAAAATATTTTGGAGAAGACATACATAACTTTGGCAGAAGACTAGATACTACTTCTAGAAGACTAAATACTGCTTTCTGAAGACTAGATACTACCGACAGGTCTAAATACAGCGTCTGGAACACTAAATACTGCTTTCCAAAGACTAAAATTGCTTTGTGGAGACTAAATACTGCTTTCTGAAGACTAGCTATTGCTGACAGGTCTAAATATGCAAAAGAAAGATTAGATATTGTTGGAGAAAACATTAAAAAGGCGCCGGTGCACCCTTTTAAGCAGCGCCCGGGTGCAGTGCATCCCTTGCACCCCCCGGTAGCGCCGCTTCTGGTTAGATTGTTGTATATTTTTATTTACTAGACCTAGAACTAGAAGCATTGACTATTTTGAGTTTAACCCTTTGTTGCCTGACAGCACTCAAAAGTAACAATAATAATAATAATAATATTATTTGCCTATAAAAACATGATTTGGCAACTGAGCCGTTAGTCGTTGTATTATTAAACAAGAAAATCAGTGCACGTGATAGACGTTCGAGTGGGTGTAAATTGGAAAAATTCTTATTGTAATTTTTGCGAATTTCAACAAAAGGTAAATAACTTTTGATATTTGATTTATAACAACAAATATTTTACATGTATAGTAGATGGTTCTTCCTAAAAATAAGCAAGAATTTTACAAATATACGAGTGTTTTATATATTGGACTCAGAAGTATCCTCAGACTGATTTAGTTTGTGTTTCGGTGAATTTATTTCGCATCATTGTTTTCAGATTGTAAATCTTTTTACCTCGATAAAAATGTCTTGGTAGAAAAATAAGGCTCTTACAGATGTACAACTTCTTCAAGAAGCGAATAAAGCGCTCGATGAGTTGGAAATCATGATTATTGACAACAACCTGGAAAGTGATGACAGCCATAGAACAGATAGAAAAAAAAGAGAAAAAAGAAAGAGAAGCCCAGAAAGAGATAAAGATAGAAACAAACTAATCAATAAAGATAGAAAATTGCGAAAAGTTTTAGTTTTGAATTACTTGAATACAATTTAGAAGAAGGTCCTGTTCACGAACATTTTTCACACTGTAATTCAGCAGTAGATGTTTTCTTGGCATTCCTTAAGCCTGTTGCTGAAACTATAGTTTACCAGTCGAATTTATACGTTACCCAAAAGAGCAGAATGCTTAACCTTACAAAAGAAAAGTTTTGTGCATTTATTGGTCATCTAGCAATGATTCAGAAATTCCCTTGATCACAAACACTATGTCTCGGGATAGATTTGATAAGATTTTATTAAATTTGCATTTCAACGATAATCACAATCTGACTCCTACTAATACCGATAATTTGTTCAAACATCGACCTTTTATTCTAAAACTAAATGAAATCTTTAAGACGTTATATTTTGGTACGAGGGAATTATCCGTAGATGAGTCAATGATAGTATCGATCAAAGAATACAACCCATACATGAAACCCATCAAAAGGGGTCAAACTTGCTGATCAGAAAGGTTATATTTTGCGATTCGATATGTATCAAGGGAAAAATGGAGCTACAAATGAAGAATGGAAGGACTATGGGTTAGGAGAAAAAGTTGTGTTATCTCTGACCAAAAGGGAATGGGGCAAAAAAATAGTGATCTATTTCGATAATTTTTTTTCATTTTCATAAAATATATTTGCGTGTGGAACTATAAGAGCAAACAAGAAATTTATTCCAAAAAAATTTAGTATCTCATAAGCAAATGACCCGAGGTGATTATGATTACAGATTCAGTTCACAGAATATAGGGTTTTTCAAG